CTGCCTTTTCACATTTTTGAAAATATCGCAACCAAGAAATGTCAAGTTTCGTAAATATTTTTTGGCTTATTATTACCAATTTTTGCCCGAAAAGCGTTGCAGTACTTTTTTCTGAGAGCTAAGTATTTTGCTTTTTGATAGTTTTAGCAGTTTCATCCAGAAAAGTTGAGGAACGAAACTAATTACATACATGCAAATGAACATATCGCACACCTATAGCTAAAGAGCGAGTAACTAAAAAAAAATGTTGGACGATTTTTTTGCATAAATCAATTCATATCACTTACGTCCAATTAATTCAAATATTTTTTCTTCATGATTATATTCACAAACTAAAAAACTACTGTTATGGCTGTTTTTGTATTAATTGAATCTGTACGATGCAAAAGCAGTTATATTTCTGGATCTAATTTTTGAGTTAGCTCACTTTAGATCTAGGTGAAGGCGATTTGCAAATAAAACACATATTTATTCCCAATTTTTTGTTACTTCATAAAAACATAATTTAAAGTTGTTGTTTTATGTGAAATTAGCTGATTGTCAAAAATCGATTTAAGTATTTCAAAATAAAGTCGAACACTTCAAATTTCTTAAACGCCAGATATCAGGAGTAATTTTAATACTTTTATCTTAAAAACTATATACTTTTATCTAAATAAATCCACCAATTAGTTATGAAACTTAAAAATGACTACTCGATTAATGTGTCAAATATTTAATTGCAAGGCAGAAACAAAAAATTGCATTGTTTGTAAAACTTTTAATCGACTAATCGACATTTTCGATCATTTTTGGTTTTATCGTTTCAAAAAAGGAACAACTTGCTTCCAATATATTTTTTGGTTTAAAATTAATTAACTTTCTGATTTAAATGAGTTTGTAAAAAGGTAATTTTGAAATTTGGTTGGAATTTTTGGTTCTTAATCCGCTACAGCTTCTTTCCAAAGCATTTGCCCCGGATTTATAGCACAGACATTTCGCGAATACTAATGTATTTTGATCGAAAAAAATAATTATCACAAAATAACGATTAAATTTTACCAAAAAATAAAAATCCACATTGAACGATTATTTTTGATTGAAGAAAAAATCAAAAAATAAAGAATTTGCAACGATTATTTGCGATCCCTGGTTTCCATTGTAGACGAGAGTTAAATAGTGCAAACGGCCTTTTAACAAATCGCTTTCAATGAAGTTGGTCGGCAGTAATACTAGCTTTTCTTACACTTTCTTTTACATATATTCATTTTGCAATTCCAACTAGTATCCAATATGACTCCCAGATACTGAGCAATGTGGTCTAAGCCTGAGCCCAGAAAAAAACGAACGCTCTTTACGGCCAGCAAACAATTTCTTAGCTTTGAATTACCAACGTTAAATAGCCCCAATCCTACGCTTAAAATCTGTATGACGGAATTCGCTCAGCCCATAAGCCAAGCTTTCGTAGAGCTTGTCACATGATTTAGCTTGGGGGACCGACTTTCTGTAACTTCAGACTAAGATTAGAAATTCACAACAAGTTTTCAGGTGTTGTGGCTTTCAGAGCTCAAGCCGTAATATAAATCTAATAGGTAAATGAAGCTTGTGAAAATCTTGTGTGGAGTTTCACTCGTAAGTTCTGTAGAAACTTGCAATCTTGATGCGTAGGGGAACAGACTTATATTGTTTGTATTTTATGACACAATCGAATTGAGCAAATTGCTCGATTTTTCGCGGATGCAAAAAATAACACAATTTCTAACAAATTTACATAAGAACCTATAATAAGGCTATATTTCAATAGTTTGAAAACTAATTTTTGTCTTTCGTTTTTTTTTTAATGAAAATTCGTTAATCAAATTTTATGCGTCTGATGAGCACCTCAGATATGGTGTTTAGGCATGTTAGCTGCGTGGCAAATAGATCAAATAAAACATTTTTTTTTTTTTTTTCAAGTTTAAGACTCCATTAAGTATTGTATTTTTTAACATTTAACCAACTAACAATTGTGTTCCACAAAAATTTGTCCGTGTTTTACATGTAGCAAGCAGCACATCACAAGCTTTTTGCTTTAAACAAAACTTAGACAAAAACTTAAAAAAATATACTTAAAAACTAAAAAAAAAAAGTATTACTTAAAATATTTTAAGTTGGTCAACCGACAACATTGCTATTAAAAAGTATCTATGTAATTAAGTTTATTTTTCACAGCAAAAGGAATGCTTTTAGTTTCGAAAGTGTTTTTATTTTTGCTTAAAACGGTATTTATTTTTACCGATATAAAAACTAACATAAAACGATTCACATAAACAATATTCAGCATTAGGTAAACGTATGATTGTAAATGGCAAAATTAATTGTAACCGCGTGCAGCATAATTTTTCGTGTATCCAATAAAAGGACACAACACAGGCTGCCAAAATCAAATTGTTTAATAATACTCGTAATTAAGTACATAATAACAGCTAACAATGTTAAAGATGACATATTATTTAGGTAGATGCACATACATACATACAGATATTCGGAAAATGAAAAAAAATAATATGCAACCTATTCAAATCATTTTGTTTTAAAGTCACATGCATACCTTTTCAGTATTTTATTAACTCATCATTTCTATTTTTTTCCACTAGTCAGTCATCTTGATAACTACAACGACTTCCTGCAAACGAAAACTTGATGCTTAACAATTATTCGCATAATTTCCCTACGAAATAGTTTTAGTTTTTTCCTGCTGCACTACATAAATATGTATTTGCAATTAACTAAATTTTAATTTTGTTCATTTTTAATTTATGTATTTAAAAAAAACACAAGAAAGCATAGCTGTTACAGTAAATAATTGTTTATCTCCAAGCAACAAAAAATGCAATACATAAATATAAAAGAACTTTTGATGAAAATTAAACTCTCATGTGAAAATAGTGGAAAATTGAAGAAATTAATAAAATGAAAATAATGGAGAAAATAATGTTGTTGATAAGTTTATCAATATTTTGTTAAGTGATTCTGATGAAATTGTTATTTTTTAGTAAATAAGTCTGTAAAGCTCCGCTTGTAGAAGAAATCAATAAATAAATTAAATACAGAAACAAAGCGTAATGATTGTTTGCTTATGCAGGCAACAATGATGACATTTTGTCCAATGAACTTTACGATTCCGTGCCTACCAACGGATGTGTGTGCATAAACAGAATTTAGTATTCTTTATTAGAAATAAAAACTATATAGCAGCGTTGATTTTCAAAAATTAAAGAACGTAACTAAATAGCAAGGCACCGAATGCAACAAAACTATGGAATTCGTTTTATTATTTACTAGCTGACCCGGCGAACTTCGTCCCGCCCAAAATTAATTTTCTATTGAAACATTTGGTCCAACGTTTCCACCACAATTCACGTTCAAGTTTGGTTTTGTGGTCGTCAGAAAGCATATTCTCTTTTGCCATCTTAAATAACCTAACGAAGTCGTTATGTCCGTGAAGAAGTTCTTGCGGCAACAATGATCCGGTACGATGATGAGTCGTTCTTGAATCTGTATGCTTGTACCCTATATCCTGTGTCCTTGAATGTGGAGGCAATTTCAAGATGGGGGAGTATCATTGGTCTACAGAAATCCAATATACATAGACTTACTTCAGACGAAATATCATAAATGTCTTACAATTTTCTTTGTAGGTATTCATCAAGAATTGTCTTTATTCTGTATATTCCTATAACCAAAGGTGTCCACAATTTCAAAGAAATCAGTACAGCCATTTGCGAGATCACCGCTTATAAAAATAGGGGATAATAAGTATACGTACATAAATAGCCAATACGCGATTGCTTTGCGGCGCCCTAAATACCTTTCCAACTGTAAAACAATCATTCAATTCTATCCTATGTATATCTATAATACGTGTACCGAATTGCAAGAAAAACGGACCACATGTACAATTTTTTCCTATAGATTCGTCCCTGGTCCACCTATCAGAAAAAAGTATACTATATGTTAATTCGGGCAATATGCTACCTATGTGCCGAATTTCAAGCAAATCAGACCATAAAGAAGATTTTTTCGAATAGATCGGTCCCTAGTCAACTTACCGGAAAAAAGATCTTGTATGCTAATCTCGGTAAAAAGCTACCAGCGTGCCAAATTTCAAGCAAATCAGACCATAAAGAAGATTTTTTTCGAATAGATCGGTCCCTAGTCCACCTACCTGAAAAAGTATCCTATATGTTAATCGAGGCAAAAAGCTACCTTTCTACCAAACTTCAAGCAAATCTGACCATAAATACAATTCTTTTAAATAGATCGGTCCCTGGTCCACTTCCCGGAAAAAAGGATCCAATATGCCAATCTAGGCAAAAAGCTACCTATCTATCAAATTTCAAGCAAATCGGACGATAAATACGATTTTTTCGAATAGATCGGTCCCTGGTCCACTTCCCGGAAAAAAGGATCATATATGCTTATCCGGGCAAAAAGCTACGTACATACCGAATTTTAAGGAAATCGGACCATAAATACGATTTTTTTCGAATAGATCGGTCCCTGGTTCACTTCCTGGAAAAAAGGATCCTATATGTTAATCCAGGCAAAAAGCTACCTACGTACCGAATTATAAGCAAATCGGACTATAATAAGATTTTTTTGAATAGATCGGTCCCTGGTCCATTTCCCGAAAAAAATGATCCTATATGCTAATCCAGGCAAAAAGTAACCTATCTGCCAAATTTCAAGCAAATCGGACGCTAAATACGGTTTTTTCAAATAGATCGGTCCCTGTCCACTTCCCGGAAAAAAGGATCATGTATGTTAATCCGGGCAAAAATCTACCTACGTACAGAATTTTAAGCAAATCGCACCATAAATACGATTTTTTCGAATAGATCGGTCCCTGGCCCACTTCTCGGAAAAAATGATCCTATATGATAATCTAGGTAAAAAGCTACCTACGTACCAAATTTTAAGCAAATCGGACTATAATAAGATTTTTTTTGAATAGATCGGTCCCTGGTTCACCTACCGGAAGAAAATAACTTTTTTTTTGGCCTAAAACATGGTGGCTGCTTAAAGCTATTTATATAAAAAATTTCATCAAAGTCGGACCAGCCGTTCGCGAGATTACCTGTTACAAAAAAAAAGGGACTTCTCTTTATATAATTAGTATAGATGACGTTTCAGGCGTAATCGAGTCTCGCGTGTTACTCAGTTTGACGTCTTTGACATAGAGGGCTTTCGAGAGTGCTGCCAACTGATCTATCTTGAGTGAAATTATCTAAGGTGTCATAGATCTATCAACTACTGGTTGGATTGTAGCTAAGCATGTAATACTTTCGTGAATATTCGAGTCATATAAAGTCTCGTCGAGGACAAGCACTCAATCACACTGCGCTACCGATTTGCAGACGGACCTGATAATTACAGTTGTGGGAGAATTGCCCAGTACTAGAGTGACTGGCGAGATTTTTCCAACCCGGTCTCTACCGTTTTTCTTTTCGAAATCTCGATTTTTCGAACATCGAATAAACCAGATTTTTTATCGATCAAACCGGTTTTTTTTCATTTTATTCAAATCTTTACCTGTCAATAAAAGTTTTGAGTTTTTCGAAGTATCCAGTTTAAGGGAGAGCATATACATAAAAAATATATAAAAAAGCTTTTTTCTTAATTGCGGTCGCCCCTCGGCGGGCAATGGCAAATCTACGAGTGTTTTTCTGCCATGAAAAACAGCTTCTCATAAAAATACAATCGCCGTTCGGAGTCGGGGTAAAACTGTAGGCCCTTTCCCTTTGTGTGGCAACATCAAGACGCACGCCACAAATCGGAGGGGAAGCTCGGCCAAACACTAACATATGTGTACGCGCCAATCTACTATTATTATTATATACATACATATTTGATTCCAATAAATGAATGTTTGGCGCTTAAACATTTTCTATGTGTTTGGCCGAGCTTCGTCTCCAATTCGTCTTATGCTTCTTGATGTTGTTACACAAATTGAGAGATCGACACTATTACTCCACCTCGGAAGAAGCTTTTTATGGCAGAAGTATACTAGGATGTTTGCCATTGTTTGCTGATGGGCGAACAAAAAAACTTTTTTTTAAGGTTGCTGGGACCAGAAATTGAACCATGGACCTCCCTAGTGATAGTAGGCACATCTTAGCACTCGGCTACGACAGCAAGCGCACTACTCAAATCCCAAAAGTGCAAAACAATGCCTGAAACGCAGTTTTATTAAAGTTTTTTCCTGGCAGAAGTAAAGACGGGGATTTTCCATTGGCGTACGCTGCAGAAAAAAAACTGTTTTTATTTTTTATTTTTTAGGCGAAGAAAATTCTAACCCTGGTGATAAGCAACGATGGTTAAGTATCATAAAGTTATTAAAAATCGATATCTGATCAAAAAGTGTTGGAGATTTTCCCTTAAAACGAAACGATATAATCTACTCAATTATTTCAACATTTTTTTACGTTTCTCAAATCATTTCCTTAGACTAGAATGGATGTCGCTCTTCCCGGTGCTTCCCTCAAAAAATGGCGGATGTAAAGGTCTGATTATGCATACTTCGCATAACTTCGCACAACCATTTGTACTAGTGCAATAAAAATGTAACTTAAGAGAATGTGAAGCAAAATCTAAACTCAACAGATCGCTAAGTTTTTAAAAGTTCTGCTAATTTCTTGGTAAAGGAATACATATAAAGTGCATACGAAATTACAGTTTGAAATTTATGCGAAGTTGTGCGAAGTTATGCAAAGTAATCAGACAGTAAGAATTGCCTACCGGGTTCATTTAAATAAAAAATTTAGAATACATGCTCAGAAAAAGATAAATGAAACCACTAGTATTAAAATCGATAAGCAGTGAACCTAAACATATTTTCTTTTAATAAATAATACAAGTACCTTTTGTTAAAACTACTTATGAACTTTATTTTTCTATATTTAAATTAAATCGAATATTTGTATTATAAAATCTCGGGGGAAAAAATACCAGGCCATTTAACTCCACTACATTTTAAATATATATCTCTTTCATCGCAAACCTCATCATGCTCCCAGTGCAGTTGGGAATAGCGCAGACTTAGCCAATGGCTTGGTAGAATCTCGTTTTATACGTATGTAACCACTTTCACCCCAAGTTGTGCCAAATGAATTCAGCACCAACCAATAGTCGATATTAGTAGTTGTATCCGTGCCATAGCCGATAACTGTCATATAATGCGAGCCGCCATAGGTTTTTGGCGGATCGAAAATACCCGAGCTGTACTGCATAAAATCGAAGGAAGTAGGATCGAATTCGATAACAACCGGAAATCCATTGAATACATATCGCATCATAGTGGCATCATCGCCATCGGTAATGCTAGCATATGCAGCTAAATTGATGGGTGTGCCAGTGGCGGTGGTGGGCGGCAAGCACATGCCCTGCGTCGACAGCAGATTATTGTTCGGATATTCGGCTTTCGAATACAAAGGTTGTCCATATAGAACTAGATAATCGAATGCGGTTTGCGACACTTGTTTCGAACAACCGGTACCCGATCCAGCGCAATCGATCAGATTTTGTGCGGATAGTGGTGTTGGTGTTGTTGTGGCCATTTCGTTCGCAGCAAATAGTTCAATAGATTTTGCTGTTGCATAGGCCCAACCGCCATTGCAAACGGTGCCTTGATCTTCAACTTCTATTGTAAAGCCCAGATCGTCAATGGGATTGAAAGATGTGCCAGCAGCCGATGCAGTTGGTGCTTGTGTTGCAGAATTAGTTGTCGGTTGTGTGGTTTTCGGGAATAAAGCATTGAAATGTATGAGACGCATGTCGCTGAATTGATTTATAGCCAAACGGTAAGTTCTTTGTCCACGATCTGCTAACGTATTGTAGGAGGCGATTAATTTCTTGTTGTAGTTGTAGTAGAAAAGCGCATATGTTTCAGGATTTGAGGTGCTGTAAGTTTTGCTATATTTTGTCTGGAAAAGTGAAAAATTATTTTATTAATAAACTAATAACACTGGATTTTTATATTAATTTTGTTCTACAGACGCCACTATCCAATTTGTATGTAGAACCGCTCGCTGAATCCGAAAATCGAGTTCTTTTGTTTTTTTTTTTGTATGGATACGTTTTCGAGATATTTTCAATTTAGCTTAAAAAAAGAGTGGTATAATTAGGTATATCTTACGAACAAATTAAAAAATCGTAAACGAGATACGGCAAATGAAAGCAAATAAAATCATACATAAACCGTATATACATTAGGGCAATTCATCTAAGCGCGTAAAAGCCTCATATCCACGTAAAGCTCGTTTGTTTATTTAATTGTTAATTTTTTTACGGAAACCCGGTTACGGTTTACGAGGTTTACACAGTTACGAGTTTATATGAATACCCTGATAAATTCTGGGGAATTAATTAATCATTCCAGATTTTTTTTTTTTGACAAAATGCAAAAAATACAAACTTTGACAGGAAATAAATTAAAAAATAACAGTTTCTGTGCAAATGTTTTGCACTTTTGTTAAAGCTTGTTCCTTTAGAAAAAAATTAAGATACAATGAAGAAAATCGATGGATAAATAAGAAAATCAGGGACTGTAATCATCATGAGTCAAATAATTCAAATCAGCATTTAATTATTATTTTATGAGTTTTATTTTTTTCGCTCTGAAATAATAATTATTATTGATATTTATTTTTTTGCTCATCGGAAATGAGTATTATTTGATTTTTATTTTTTCGCTCAGAGATAATAATTATTAATTATTATTAAAATAATGATTATTTATAAAATTGAAAAGGCTATACAGACACAACTTACTGAAATTTTTAACTGAAAATTTTTAGACTTATTCCTTTAATTAGGGTGTCGCTACCTCTGAAAAGGATACGGCGGAAACCGCGCTGGTATAGCTTTTTGATTTTTTGAAATGATCATTATTCTTAAGTGGAAAAAATAAAACTCAATATTAATAATTATCTTTGAGCGAAAAAAATAAAAATCATAAAATAATCATTATTTTTGATCGAAAAAATAAAAATCAAGGAATTGGATAGTGGCATCCATAGAACATTTTTGCTGTAAACCAGTATAATAAAGAGATTATGTGTATTTGCCATTGCTTCATTCTTGGTATTTAAGAAATGCTGCACATTTTATCTAACAGTTAAGCAGTTAATTAGATTATGCACTTTAAACACCGAGAGTAGCAACGAGAAAACTTTTTATATGTAGACCTAAGAACTACGGCCGTTTTTACCGAGGGCGGTGTGATTCTGCTGGAAGATCTTGCTGAATTTATGGCTATGCCCCAATCTTGTCTCGGTCTATCACTATTTACTCAGACAGCTAAGCTGCGATTTGATCTTTTAATAGCACTAGCTTGAGGTTTACGATCAAATCAAAAAAGATTTTGGAGGAGTTAACCATGATTGCAGTATCCGTTCTCGGATCAGCTGCATCCACGGGAACTGCGCAGTGTGCGCGTTTTTTAAGATAAGAACCATAACTACATAAAAACACTTAACTCTCAGCTTACTGCGGGCTTCAAGCTTTAACTAAAAACACACTTATGTAGTTAGCTTGTGAAACCTGGGAGGGGTCAATATAGATCTGGCCTACTTTCAAGGAAAAGGTATTCAATTCCCAACACTCGCTCCATCGCTTCCCTGTTCGTGCATTTGAAAATTAACTGCCGGGACGAATAAAAAGCAAAGAGCGTCCAAAACCTTCTCTTATAACTCCACTAAAAGACTTAGTAAAACCACACGGTCTATGTGGGCCTTTAGAAGACTTTTTCGTTGGCCGTATTGTCTTAGCCTCCGTAGTTGTATGACCACCACCTTAAAAAACAGCTTCCATTTCATGTTTGAATAAACTTCTTCGTTAGCTTTGCTCTCGGCAACAGGATATATGATAACTTACTTAACAGCGACTCTGGAATCGCTTCTTGTGTGATTCCCCTACATAGTTATTTTTGTTCATGCAGTAGATGTCTCGGGAGAGTTGCAACTGCGAATAGCTGACGGTAGTCCTCATAAGAACTAGCTTCAAACAGGTATTTTGGAAAACTACCGGATAAGAAATATGTGGGGGATTTCTGCCTCTATGCTAAAAGAAGTCTGCTTTGGCTTGAAATTTCAGGCAAAACCCCAGAACGGGAATTCTCACCTCGATCGCTGATATGCCCATTGAGACAGGTAAAAAATGGAAGACAGATAAGGTGAGGCTATTTACGTACGCGACACAAAACTTTCTATGGTAATGGTCCGAATGTGAGCCAGAGTAAGCCTTAGATAAGTTATCTTTTTAAACAGCCCAGCATCTACTGGAGCCCTCTCCAATGGGAATATCACCTCAAGCAGGTTAAGTAGTATTTTAATAATCTTCAACTCTTGACAGCGAAGAACAAGAGGACACTGTGCTGCGTACCAGGCCACTATGGTATGAAAGGGTAGTGATGTGCTGGGTTGATACTTTTAAGTATGGAAACATTTTTGTTCTAGGCGATCGGGCGATGTTATCTTTTTAGGCTTGAAAGACTTCTTCATCTGTCAAAGCATTTTTCGTGAATCGTATAAGATTTTTACTTGAGACGTTTTATATACAAATTGTATAGGCGATTGAGTGCCAACATCAAGGCGCACGCCACAAATCGGAGGAGAAGCTCGGCCAAACGTAAGTGTAAGCGCCAAACTATTATTATTATTATTAGTGGAATCAAAAGTTGGCTGCACCCACCCAAACTTCATTGGGAGCGATTAGTTCCAAGGCCGTTCACACCAGGCGACTGTTGCTTTCAACTAAAAGTTGCCTGTAAAATCGCCTCATATAAACACCGTATTATAGCTTCGAAGGTGGAAACTGATAAAATGGTATTCTTGTGTTGCTATAAAGTCAAGAAGGCGAATAGAGGGTTGTTTACGATGGCAATATTGTCGACATGTGGTTTCCACATTGTTCAACGCAAATTGTCCAACTTTTGGGAAAGCATCGTCTTATTCATGTTAATTGTGAAGCATATTCATAGTCGAAATAACGTCGATTCTGAAGTTAGTTGCAGCTTTTTTGACAGATTTTCTATAGACAACGGTCAATAACGGATGGCGCACAAAGGGTCAGCCCCTGCCCTGGTGGAACCGTCACAATTTTACTGACTCAGTTGGTCTTCTTTGAGACCTATAATTACTGAGTTGGTTAACTTAGAGCGAGTAAGTATGGGGGAGCAGCAGAAGTCCTTCGATAGGCTTGACTCATTGGTTAAGTTATGTTTTCATTCGCCAGCTTTGCATAAACATCAGATCTGGCGCCCACGCTCTTCACAGCCTCACAAGAAAAATTTAAATGGTCAAGAAAAAATCAAATTACAGGCTAAGAATGGATGTCCGCATACTGGAGTGTCCTGTCCTCTATTATGGTCAGCCACAGAAGACGTACTGCACTGCGTTCTTAGACAAAAGGGGTCGGATATTCAGAGCAACGTAGATGCCATTATCATCTTAAACAGGAGAAGGCTTGAAGACTATCTCTAACGTTCTTTTTTTATCGAAATTAACACAATATAAAGCATACATAAAACAGCATGTAGGGTACATACAGCCCATTGCACGGTTTGCAAGTTCCTTGGTCTTACCTCCTACAGAATGCGCTGGACATTTTCGCCGAACCCTAGAAAGATTAACATAGTTATTTTCTCCAGAAAAGGGGAAAACGGACAGATTTCTATAACCATCCCTTCAAGAAGAAAAAATACACATCTCCAAAAAACAAATATCTGGGAAGTATCCTTGGTGGCAAACTCACAGGGAATCTTCATCCAGATAAAGTTCTTCAAAAAGCCGAGCGATTTGGACCTGGAGGTATGATACAATTTCGCGCTTGTCTGGTGAAAGAAGCCAGGTTAAGTCTAAGCTCAGCAAACTCCAACGACTAGCCTTCATGGTCATCGCAACATCAACCATGGCTATGAAGAAGCTTCTACACCTGCCCAATCTACAGATTGTAACAAAGAAAAAGGCGGGTGCTGTTTACGGCAAGACTTGTCTTAAGAGACGCTGTGCGCTGGATGAGAATTTTATATACTCATCCACTATTTGGGTTACTGAGCAAAATCAGGGACTGCGCATTAGCTTTGTGGACCTGTGTCTTTCGAGGTTTAACTTCATACCTAGTTTTAAGGTCGTTTCCCCTAACAGAACCAACAAAGACAATGAATGAACGAAACCGTAAGTATGGCCACTCTTCTGGTATAGTGATCGTATACAACCCAGAAGACTCCTGTTCTCTAGCATGGGGCCGTGACCCGATTACGAAATTACGAATGCGGGCCAGAATGCTTCCATCTTAGCTTCGCGAAGGCTGCGCAGTCTAATAGAAAGTGTTCAGATAAGTCCACCTTATCTTCATTTTGACAACTGATGCAAAAGGAAAACCTGAGATTCCTAATCTTACCACGCGAATACCCCTCGCATAGCGAGAGCTGAGGCTATTCAAGCATAATCGCCGCACTCACCCCAGCCAGGAAGGATCTTGCAATCGCGCATGTCCAAGTTTTAGCCCAGTGCTCGCTGGGGCGTAACCAGCTGCTCCAAGGATATATTTTCTTGCCACATCATCAGCCTGGTTCCCGCAATCTCATGTAGCCTGGCCAGATAAGGAAGTACCTCGCTGCGGTTGATGGAGCTCAGGCATTCTCTTACCAATTTCGAGCGTACCATTATAGCGTTCAGGGATCGGATAGCCGCCTGGATATCAGAGCAGATATATGCCTGCCTCCCAAACTGTCGTCACACTCTTCAGCAGTGAGTCTACCGCTTACTTGATCAAAGCTATTTCCGCCAGAACAACACTGCAGAAGTCCGAAAGCCTGAAAATAGTTTTGATGGAGAGCTCCGGGCAAAAAAACCGCCACCAAGTTTTTATCCGTGTGTAAAAAAGTTCACTGCTCCCTCCTATCAGACCTCTCTTGAACGAATGTATGTAGGTA